ATGGGCCTAACTAAATGAATCTGCTAACTATAAAATGGAAGAACAGAAGTTAACCTTGGCCAGACGTTCTTCGCTGAGAGTCGCTGTGGTTTCCTGCTTGGATGGAACCCGGCTCCTGTCCTCCATCACGGCCAGCCACTCATAGCCAGCCTTCCGACACCTCCTCACCACGCCCTTGGACCGTTCCAAGGCTCCTGCTGCCCCTCCAGTGCCACACAGCCACTGCCATGATGACGGTGTCCCCCTCGCAGGTGTGCCAGAACTACCACCAGGACTTGGAGGCCACCATCAACCTCCAGATCAACCTGGAGCTCCACAACTCTTATGTCTACCTGTCCATGTGTTACTACTTTGACCACGATGATGTGGCTTTGCAGAATTTTGCCAAATACTTTCTTCACCAATCTCACGAGGAAAGGGAACATGCTGAGAAACTGATGAAGCTGCAGAATCAATGAGGTAGCCGAATCCTCCTTCAGGATATCAAGAAACCAGACTGTGATGACTGGGAGAGCGGGCTGAATGCGATGGAGTGTGCGTTACACTTGGAAAAAAGTGTGAATCAGTCACTACTGTAACTGCACAAACTGGCCACTGACAAAAATGACCCCCACTTGTGTGACTTCATTCAGACACGTTCCCTGAATGAGCAGGTGAAATCCACCAAAGAACTGGGTGACCACGTAACCAATCTGCGCAAGATGGGAGCCCCTGAATCTGGCATGGCGAGTATCCGTTTGACAAGCACACCCTGGGAGACAGTGATAATGAGAGCTAAGCCTTAGGCTAACTTCCCCATAGTCACGGGGTGACTCTGTGATCACCAAGGCAGTGCATGCATGTGGGGTTTCCTTTACCTTTTCTATAAGTTGTACCAAAACATCACTTAAGTTCTTTCATTTGTGCCATTCCTTCAAATAAAGAAATTTGGTAACCCCCCCCCCCAAAAAAAAGAAATTAACTTTAGTGATTTTGGTTTGGCAACGCATTCGGCATCAGAATTAAGAACTTTTGCTCTAAAAAGAGCTGCAGAAATGAGAAGTTGGGTGACAGCGGAGGGCTGCACTTATAGGACCCACACTCATTGGGGGCAAATTGCACTGGGGTGGCTGAGGTCCACCTGCCCCAGGACCAGGCTGGGTTGGGCCTCTAGGAGCACCGGGTACTGCCAGACCATGTTCTATCTGCAGGCCGGACACCACCTGGGCAGTGGAAGAGAGGCAGAACCCAGAGCTGCAGGGGCCTCACCAGGCCTCCTCCTGTCACAGGTAGTAACAACAGTGACCCTTCCATGGAAAATGGTGGAGCCCCAGGGAGTTGGGGCAGCATGAGGAGCTGGGTCATTCAGGAGCCCACACAGCAGCTGGCGGTGCCAGGACTTGACACCAACAGGGCAGCCTCAAGGCAGCCACATGGGGGACCCAACACAAACCTCCGCACTTCTAAGACAATGGAAATCAGCCATGTCCTCTGACCACACTGGAGCAACCAGAAACAGCAAGACTAGAAAGTTGGCAACACTCGGAGACTCAATAACACATCACCCTCAACAGCCCACGTCAAAGTCTCAGAGGAGATTTTAAAAACACACAGATCAGCTTGGCACCTGTGGCTCAAGCAGCTAAGGCGCCAGCCACATACACCTAAGGTGGCGGGTTTGAACGATGGCTGTAACCAAAAAATAGCCAGGCGTTGTGGTGGGTGCCTGTGGTCCCAGCTACATGGGAGGCAGAGGCAGGAGACTCGCTTCAGCCCAGGAGTTGGAGGTTGCTGTGAGCTGTGATGCCACAGTACTCTACCCAGGGGACAGCTTGAGGCTCTGTCTCAAAAAAAAAACAAAAACAAACACACACACAGATCTAGAAGGCAGCTGAGAGGTGCTGAGGGGGAAATCTACAGCACTAAACACTAACATCAGGAAAGGTCTCAAAGCAATCAGCCCTGAGTTCTTTTCCTGAGAAGCTGAGAAAAGAGAGCAAAATAATCCACAGAAGCAGCAAAGAAAAGGAGGGGACGAAGGCCTGCGACTTGCAGCTGTGACCGTCTTGGGGATCAGGCCTGATGAGTCTAGGGGGTGGGCCACCTGCTTTTTCTCTGGCCACCCCTTTGCTCTAACTACAAATTGTTTCTCCCTGTGCCCAGGTGAGTGTCAGCTTTCAAAGCCCGCCAGCATACCAGGGTGCACCTCTGCAGAGCCCATACTGGGCAGCAGCCCAGTCCCCCAATCACAGCAGGAGTGGCCAACAGAGATATCCCTCCCAGAAGGCAGGGCTGCATGTGGAAACCCATTCTGATAGTTTCTCTCAGTGGCTGTGGTGGTGCCGGGAGTCCCAGCCGCAGAGCAGGCCCCTTGGGAAGGGCACCTGCGTCACCACCACCACCACGCCGGCCACCGGTCTCTGAGACCTTTCCTGTTCTCACTGACTAGACTATGGTCATGTGCCTGCACTTTCACCAGACTCCCGTCTGGTGAGAGTGTGCGGCCAGCCCCACCATGGACATCCTGGGACAGTGACTGTCCAGGGGCCTCAGTGGTCAGCTAGAAACATTTGTGCATTCTGGGTCAGAAAAACCACCAAGGTTAGGCGGAGTGGGGGAGGGCAGGGGCTCCCAGGGTGACAGCTCTCACTCGAGGTCCCCACAAGCCACAGCTGCAGCCTGTCTTCTGCCCACCTCCACTCC